TTTCCGGGTACTAGGGTAAGTACTTAATACCTAGTTATAGGCTTCTTATATAAGATAAGTATATAAAGGGATATTTTAATATATATAAAGATTATTATTATTAATAATATAGTCTAGGGGTAATTCCTCACGGATTTCTATAAAAGATAATTAATTATTAATTTATAAGTCCTAAATTAAGTTTAAATTATCTCTAACTAGCTCTAGGAATATAAGGATAATATTAATATACTTTATTACTTTTTCCACGTAAATTTAAGCTAATTTAGTATTAATTTAAGGATTTAAATACCCTAGTTTAAGTAAAGTTCTTAAATAATTATCTTTCTTAATTAATTTTTAAATTATAATATCTTATTCCCTTTAACTAAATATATTAGCCTTTTAATTATTCTTTCTAATAATATATATAATCTGGAAATTAAAGTTAAATAAGAACTTTATTTAATATATTTATTTAATTATAAGTAACTTAGTTATTATAAAGTACTTAAGAGAGTAATAATCTAAATATACTCTAATATAATTCTAAATAAATATAAGTTTAAGTCTCTACTTTCTAAATACTTTAATAATAATATATAATTCCTTATTATAGATTTCCTAATTAATCTTATAATTAATTAGGATATAAGAATAAAAAGTAATAAGATATTATAATTTATTAAGATATAGCTAAGAGAATATACTAGTAATTACTTTATCTAAGGAATTAATTTCTAGCTTAGTCTCTAATTTAGGGTTAAAATAATAAAATATAACTAAGTCTAATAAGTAATTTTATAGGATTTTAAAGGCTTTTATATATTCTTTTATTTAAATAAAGGATTTAAAAGGGCAAGTAATTATACTAAGTAATTTAGTAATAAGCCTAAAATTATAAATAAATTAATAATAAAATCCATAGAAACTAAGATAAGATTTAACTCTAGTAATTATAATAAGTCTAATCTAGTTTTATAAAGGTTTAACTTTCTTAGGGTTAATCTCTAATCCTTTAATTATTAGTATATAATTAAGGTATTTTATTCTTTTAATATTAAACTTACTCTTCTTAATATTAACTTATAAATTAGCTTCTTAGAATTAAATTAGAATCTTTTATATATATTCTTTATATTCTAATAAGTCCTTAGAGTAAATTAAAATATTATTTAAGTAAGTAATATAGAATTTATTTATATATATTTAAAAGATTATTAGATTATTATAGAGTTTAAAGGATAAGACCTTATACTTATATATATTATAATAAGTCCTAAATATAATATATTCCTCTAAGTTAGGATTTATTCTAATTTAATAAAAAGCTTAATAAATATTAAATTTAATAAACTTCTTAGCTTTTAATACTTAATTAATTAATTTATTAATCCTAGGAATTAGGTAAGGATTATTTTGGATTAGAGAATTTAGTTTTTAATAATTAATATAAAAATATAAGTTATTATTAGCCTTCTTAATAAAAAGTATTAAGGAAGTAAAAGGGCTTAAGTTATTAATAATAAATCCTTTATTTAAGTTATTAATTAGGTATTATTTTATAGCCTTAAGCTCTTTAATTAATTAATAATATAAGGGTAAGAAGTAATTAAATAAAGGAATTTTAAGCTAAATCTTATAATTATATAAATAATAAAATAATAACTAATCTAATATTATTTTACTAAAGATATCCTAGAATTAAGTATATTTAGTAAATAAATACTTATTTAATAGGGTTTTAGTCTCTATATCTTTATTCTCTAAGTATTTATTAATAATATAATCTAGCTTATATATACTTATCTAGAAGAACTTTATTCCTAATTATTTTATATTAAAATAAAGAGTATTAGCTAAGATTTAATATATATTAATAATCTAAATTATTCTAGTAAGGGATCTCTTTAGGGTTTTAAGTATTATATAATTCCTAGTTTTATAATTTCTTAGTAATTAAATAAGAGGGGGTTTAGGGCTGATTTAAAGGGTATTTAGATTAGGTGAGATATTATATATAAAGGAAATAAGGATTTATCTAAGTTAATTTCTCTCTTAATATCTTATTTATTTTTCTATAATTTTATCTTTATAATTTATATTAAGTTAATAATTAGGAAACTAGGCTTATAATTTTAAGGAAAAGTATAATAATTTAATCTCTTTAATTAAATAAGTATTTAGAGGAATATTAAAGGGTTAAATTAAATAATTATACTTAGGGTTAAAGTATACCTTAAAGTATCTTATATATTTAATTTTAATAATTATATCTTAATTCCTTAAGTTAAGAATAATAAAGGAGTAATTTAAGATCTAATAATTATTAATAATTAAATATAATTAAATTAATTAATTCACGGAAACTTAGGTTTTATTATTAAAACCTCTTATTATTATAATATATAATAAATTCTAAATTAGGGTATTTAATAATTAAGAGAGTTATTTAATAAGGAGATAATTAATAAAAAGGAAATTATTTACTCTAGTATTTACTAAAGAATATAAATTAATTTTATATTTATTTATATTAAGAGAATAAGAAACTAAGAACTAAGTATTACTTAATAATCTAAATAAGTCTAAATTAAATAAATTATATATATATAAGCTTAGAAAGGAGTCTTACTCTAGGCTTTTTTATTTCCCTCTTAAACTAGACTTAATTTATTATTCTTATTCTCTTAATTACTAGGGTTATTTTTATAAGCTTTATTAATCTCACTAATTAGGGTATAAATTAAAGATAATTTAAAGTATTAGGCTTTAAAGTAATTAGTTTTTTTATATAGGAAGTAAGTATCTTTAGTAATAAATTTAATTAGTAATTAAATAAGAATTATAAAAAACTTAAGATAATTAAAGAGAGGCTTTAATATAATAATTAATTTAAAAGAAGAGAAAAGTTAAAAAGGTTTTAGAGATAACTTTAAGGTAATACTTAAGTTAATTATTAATAATTTATTTATTTTAAAAAAGGGATTCTATATTAAAGAAAAGAGATTATAATTAAAGTTCTAATAGTATTTTATATTAATTAAGATTAGGCTTAATATTATCTATTAAAAGTTATATTTCTAGAAATACTTTAATATTATAAAAGTATTCCTTAGTTATAATATAATCTTATCCTATAATTAATAAAATTAATTTACCTCTAATATATTTCTAAGTATAATTATATTATAAAATTAAGTAATAAACTTAGGGAAAATCTTATTATTATAATCTTTCTCTCTTATAATTATATTATAGAATTAATTCTAGTATTCCTTTATCTTATACTTTATTATAAAATAGGATTCTAATATCCTAATTATATTATTTATAAATCTAAAGTCTTAGTAATTTAATTAATAATAGGGTTTTAAATAAGAATAAGCTAAGCTAATAATAATAAATTAAATTAGGGCCTTTCTTATAACTTTAGAGGTATAATAATTTATATTAATAATAAAATAATCTTAAATTAATATCCTTTATTAATAAAATAAGGGATTTATATTATTATTAAGAGACTTAATTTTCTTTATAAATTTTAATCTTATATTATTTATAATAGGAGTTAGGTTTATTTTATAGAGGTTTTAGAGGTTTAAGGATTATAAGAAGAAATTATATATTATATTAATTATTCTAAAGGAATTAGCTTTAAAGATAATTATTTAGAATTTAGAAGGATTAAGAGTTAATCTTTTAGCTTTAAAAGGAAAGGATTAAGTTAAGGATTATTTAATAAAGGATTATATATATACTTAAGACTTTATTTTATTAACTTACTAAGTTAATTAATTAATTATATTTATTATAATTTTAAATTAGTTTTTTATCTTCTTATTAAATTTATTTTAATTTTCTTTTAGCCCTTAAATAATTCTATATAAACTCTCTAATATCTTAAAATCTTATTTATTTTATTATTTCTTTATTATACCCTTTCCTCTTCCCCTAGAAGATTTAATAAGCCTTTAATATAAGGGTCTAGGGATTATAAGAGTCTTATTAGATTTATTAAAGCTAGTAATATCTCCTAGGGATTAAAGTATTAATATTAAGTTAAAGGGGAGTTATAAGGGTTTTAGTTATAAAGTATATATTTAAGAAGTATATTTTTAGAAGAGTAAGTCTTTCTAATAATAATCTAATATTAACTTAAGCTCTTATTTATAGTTTCCTTTATATAAAGGGGATTATTTAGAGTCTCTTTACTCCCCTTAATATTATATAATATATAATAATTTATACTAATATTTATTATATAAACTAGACCCTAATTCTACTAGTTATCTATGAGATCTCTGGGATTATAATTATTTAAATTATTATTATTTAAATTAAATCTAATCCAATTATTATTAAGTATATAAGCTCACTATAAGATATTATTAAAAGGTTATCTCTAATGGAAGTAATCTTTAGATTCTAATATAATAATATAGATAATTTAAGTTATAATAGAGGTATATAGGAGTATATATATAATTTAATAAGCTTAATTCTATAGGTTACTTATAAAGGAGAATCTAAAGATAAAGAGAGGGAAGAAAGAATAAGTTCTTAGAACCCCTATTTAAGCTCCTATAAGATTACCCTCTATAATGGGTCTATATTAAGTCCGAGGCTTAGTTCTAGTAAGGACTAGGGGTCACGTTAGCACGTGCCTAAATACTATTTATTATAAACCCTTTACTAATATTAATAATATTTCAATAATTAAAGGGATAAAAGTAAATAAATCTATAAGAGGTATTATTAAAAAGTGAGTTAATTAGGGAGTAAGTTCTAAATTAAAACTAAAACTTAAAGAGAAGAAAAGAGAGGTGAGTGGAGCGAGGCTGAAAGACCCGCGACGCACGGTCCATCCCGCTAAGGGGCGCCAGTGCCCTCTTACAGAATCTACCGTAAGCGAAAAAATTCATTGGCTTATTAACTCAAGATAAGCCCATTTTCGGCAACCAACAATCTCGGCCTGAGTAAGTAACTCTACAACCAGCTAGCATTCGCATGTTCTAATACCAAAACAGTAGTTCAGTGGTAGAATTCTTGCTTTGGGTGTCAAAATTCCTGTAAGAGGTCTCCGGTTCGATCCCGGATTAGGCCCCTAAAGATTATTTTTTGGATTTGATTTTTGAATTAATATCACGCTGTATTTTAACATTTTACTTAACTTTTTCTTACTTGGAACGTTTTCTTCTATTAAGGCTTATTTATAGAATGTATAGTGTTTTCCTTTCCGTGCTTTATTCAGACTGCTTTTGTCTATATAATGATTTTCTTCATCTGCATCAGACAACTCTTTTACATATACCTAAGCCGTTAAAATACATTATTCTAGCCCCAGCCAAGTATTGTATCTACAGCTGTGCGAGAATAGCTCTAACAAAACCTGCTAGCTCTCCAATAACCACCTCTTCACGAAGCTTTAACCGTCGACATTGAACCTCACACTTTCTCTCTGCCTTCCAGCTCCTCCCGACAATCACAATTACAGGATAGCCCACCAAATCTGCATCTTGCATTTTCCAAGGGAATGATTCGGCCCGGTCATCAAGGATCAAATCTAGTTGACAATTATCTGTCTCGGATGGCACGCTGTAAAGTGCATCATAGACTTCCAAGGCAGCTCCGTCTAAACCGTTGCCTGAAATGATCACTACTTCAAACGGTGCCATCACTCGCGGCCAATTCAGGCCCTTGTCATCAGCAAGTGTATCTGCAACCGCCCCTATCAGACGCGATACACCAATACCATGGCAACCCATTTGCATCGGAACCGGACCTGAATCTGTTCCGTCAATCCTACGAGCGTGTGAATCGACAGCTGGCGAGTTGACTGTCGCTGAGAGCGGTTCGCTGTAGCGTGTACCGAGATGAAAGGTATGACCGAGTTCTATAGCTTTCTGAACTTTCAAAGTTCCTCCAGAGCAGCGGGGGCAAGAGTCTCCATCAACAATGCGGAGCAAGTTGAGTGGTCGCTGAGTCGAGGGATCTTTGCTAATGATTACCATATCCGTGAATTGCGGAGCTATTGCTATCGACGCTCGCCGGATTGTTAAGTCAGAATCCTTCGTGCTGATGGTTGAACGAGCATGCTCGGGTAGTCGATAGTCGATCAAATTCAGGACCGTAGGTACGATTGCAGGCCCGCCATGAGAAGCGCTATTGAAAATTTCCCACATGATGAGTGCGTCTTCAATCGACGCGTCCAATTCGGGGAATACCGCTTTGACAGCATGAATGTTGACTTCTGGAATGACTGTTGTGGCCGGTTCCGAAGTGGCCGATGAATACCAAACATTGACCAGTGTATGTCTGTCTCGAGATATGCCTCGCCAAACATGTATCTTCACCTCTGGCTGATTAGAAATTCCATTCGTCAGCCCAACTCTGCTATCATCAGCCCTGCTGCCAGGGTCTGGAACTGCAGCCTCTGCCAACTCCTCGTTGGCAATATAATCACAATTCGAGCAACTGATGACATGATCCTCTCCTTTTGACGTTGGAAAATGAAACTCGTGGCTCAAATTCCCACCCATATCGCCGCTATCAGCCTCAGCAACTAGATATGGGAGCTTCAATTCATCGAACAAACGCGCATATGTCTCACGGACTTGATCGTATGTCGCAAGAGCCAAAGATGGACTCAGATCAAAAGTGTACAAATCTTTCATGATGAATTCTCGGGAGCGGAGAAGTCCTTGTCGGGGTCTTCGTTCGTCACGATATTTTCGGGCTGCGTTTGATTAGCGACATGTCTCGAAATCAACGGCAAAACTGACATATTTGATATAGGCGGATGGGGAGCTCTCTATACGATTTCACCGTGCTCGCAACCAGTGACGTGATCTCTTCCTCATGGGTAGGTGAGAGGAGATACCTCACATCTTTCCTGTCTTTGAAGCGAAACAGCTAGAGTGAAGTCAGAAATGATACAGGACAGAAGGATACCAACTACCTCAGAGCCAGCCTTTTCTAAACGGCCACTTTTTGACCATATTTCTTCTGATGAGATAGACGACAGAGCCAATTTGGAGGCGCCTTGTCATCATTAGCCTAGCCATTCGCGAGAAGTGTATAATTCTCACTCAGTTGATGCATGTGCTTGTCTATCAAGGCTTCCAATTTATCTTGGACTCTGCGCCCTAAAGGCAGCATATGAAAGATACCAGAATGTGCCTAAATAGTTAATAGTAGGATTGAAGACGGGAGAGATATCACTTGCCTGTCGGAGGAAGCCAGCTCGAACGAGTTTCAAGTGAGAATCTGAGCCTAGCATTAGCATATGCCTAACAAGCCAGATATTTACAACCTTCAGGTGAAGACACAGCAATCCCGCCCGTCGGAACCCATAATTTAGATAGTCGAGCTCTGCCATCAACCTTTGGGATATCAGCAATGAGCGCCATAACACGTGACCAGGGGTCTGACAATTGCTTCACCGGTTGTGTGACTTGCAGTATTGCGGACAAATGTGCGATTGTGGCATATATTATGCCCAATTCTCGATTGCAGAAGGCTCTGAGAATGCTGCCGTACTGCCTCGATGGCTTTGGGATAGGGGTTGGGTGTCAAGCATTTCATATTGAAGAAGCAGATCGAGGGGTCCTAGGTCAACGTCTCAAGACATAATCAAGCTCCGCTTGCAATCAGAGACCTCCGAGTCTTTGCCATTTCCTCAATGCGTTGAACATCTTCCTTCGTCCCGATAGTGAGAAGAGAAAGGAAATTTGATGAGCTTGAAACTGCACCAGCCGGGAATCTACTGTAAGCGAGCCCGCCAACCTTAATTTTGTTATCTCTTATCGTACAAAAATTCGATATTTTCTTCAATCATACAATTCCAAGACGCAGATGCGTCTCACTCTTCGAAAATCATGGCGCGACGAAAGACAAACTCGACAAAAGCGATCAAGGGGGCCAGCAATCCTAACAGTGAAGGTGTCCCGTCATTCGATGAGGAAGCTTTGTCAACATTGACGGCCAGGATTGAGAAAGGATTCGGCACCAGCACTTCACAGCAAGCAGGTGATACAAGTCGAGGTCAAAAAGGGAGCAATGGGATAAATAATAAGACGCCCATGAAGACGCAGCTGAAGATGAAACCCGTCGAAGTTGCAAGAGGCACCAAACGAGATATTCGTGGCAACGCAAAAGGAGCTGGAGGCGAGCAGCCCTCCTCGAACCTGAAAGATGAAGAGGGGTTCGACAACCGAGCCGTCTTGTTGAGAGAGATTTTGGCACTAGGGGGGACTGAAGAGGACCTAGATCTGGTGGCAGACGCCGTGTCGGATGATGAAGACAATGAATTGGCCCCGCCAGACAAGGTATTTCGGAAAGAGCTCGCGAACTTTGTTGCTGGACTTGGTATCGAGGGAGAAATTGATGAGCTCGGTGGGGATGACATCGACAAAGAGGAAATTGGCGATGACTGGGAGGATGCTTCAGATGTGAACAGCTCAAGTGGTTCTGATGGTGGGAAAGGTGTTGAGCCTACGGTTCTTCATAAATCTCTCTCAGAGGATCCCAAGCGTTTAGTCAGTACTACTTTTAGAAGATTAACTGGTCTGACTGACTCCCAATAGATTTTTGAAGCGCGACCTGACTGGCATGCTACCCCTTTACCTCCTCTTCCGAATCCAGAGGGTGTCGACTCCGCCAGATATCGTGATGCCATTGCCAATTTAAAAGGTTATGCCTTATCTCTCCTCGAATCCGACGGGAATCTTTACACCTCCAAGCACCTCTCGTCATCTTCATCCCATCGATTTCTTTCCACCATCATGTCCTCGGGCACTCTCTCTGATAAAGTGTCTGCATTGACTTTGGTCGTTCAAGAGTCACCTGTTCACACCACCAAATCATTCGAAAGTCTCCTGACATTGGCTAAGAAGAGGAGTCGGGGACAAGCTGTATCTGCCTTAGGTGCATTAAAAGATTTATTGGGAGTGGGAGTCGTCCTTCCAGCTTATAGACGCCTCCGAGCCTTTGCGTCGCAGCCAGGTCTTCTTGGTACATTGCAGGAGAGCCCATTTACATCCTGGAAGCTAGGAGAGAAACTTCCGGGAAGCATTTCAAAGGCGCACCTAATTTCGTGGGCGTTTGAGGATTGGCTGAAAGAGTCTTATTTTGATATGTTAAAAGTTCTTGAAGGCTGGTGCAACGACGAGGTTGAATATGCTCGTTCCAGGGCAGTCACTTATGTCTATGAGCTGTTAAAAGAGAAGCCCGAGCAGGAGGCCAACCTGCTTCGACTGCTGGTTAACAAGCTTGGAGACCCCGACAAAAAGATTGCTTCTCGAGCATCATATCTATTGCTCCAATTGCAAACGTCCCACCCTCTGATGAAACCTATCATCATTCGATCGATAGAGAGTGAGCTTCTTTTGAGGCCTGGACAGAGCTCTCACGCTAGATATTACGCTATTAACACTCTGAATCAAACAATTCTAAGCGGGAAGGAGGAAGAAGTTGCGCAAAAACTTCTGAGTATCTATTTCGATCAATTTGTGTCTCTCTTAAAGAAACCCGAAACTTTAACAACACCAGCCGGGCCAGTCGTCAACCACAAGGGCCAAATTCAAGGCGGAGGTGCTCCTATGGGAAAGAAGGCGAAGGCTAAGGTTGCCAAAGAGAACGAGGCTAAGGCGACGAGTGAGGAAACGACGGAGAAGATGATATCAGCCGTTCTGACTGGTGTCAATCGAGCATTTCCATTTTCCAAGACAGATGACCTCACGTAAGCCTTGATCCCTAGCACGCATAGAGCTCTCTGACATTCCATCTAGCCTCGAAAAGCATATGGATACTTTGTTCAGAATTACACACTCTTCAAACTTCAACACTAGTATCCAGGCATTGATGCTGATCGAGCAACTAGCGACGTCCAAGCATGTCGCCGTTGACAGGTTCTATAGAACTTTGTACGAATCATTGCTGGACCCTCGTCTAATCACGTCTTCCAAGCATGCGCTATATCTTAATCTTCTGTATCGAGCATTGAGATCGGACATTGACATCAAGCGTGTCAAAGCCTTCGTCAAAAGAATACTTCAAGTCATAACCTTACATCAGCCTCCATTTATTTGTGGCATTCTATATT